ATTGCTAACTTAATATATGTTAGTGTAAACTTGTTATATAGTGTTTGTATGCATTTATAAGTGGAAAAAAAGGGTGTTCCACTTTACGGCGATTTCCGCTTTACGGCGGTAGCCTGGAACCTAACCCGCCGTATAAGTGGGGCCTTCCTGTACCTGGCTTGGGTTAGCCATATATGATTTTTGGTAAATATTCGATTCCCAGCCAGGATAGAAACATTACGCGTGTTTCTTTACACCTGTTGTCTATGTTTACCCATCAGTAAATAGGTACCTGGGTGTTAGCCGACTGGTGTGGGTGTTATCCTGGGACACTGACCTAATTTTCTTGAAATACTCTGCATAACAACTGACTTTCTATATAGTAGTATGTCACTGATGTCAGCTAGGCCTGTATACCTTGTACATGTACTTGTAGTAAATAAAGATATTATTATTATTATCATTATTATCATTATTATTATCATTATTATATTATTTTCTCAGTTGTTTGTTATGTTATCTTATTGAAACTTGGGCAATGTATGATGGAAAGATACTTCTTAACGTACACCAAAAATAAAAGAAATCAGACCACAGATAGCGGAGTTCACTTCTCAGCCATTAGCGGCCACTTAGCGGTATATTTTTGTGTGGTTTTTATGGTTATATTCTCATTTTTTCGGTCTCATTTGATAGAATGAAAGATATATTACAGAAATAGATATGATTTTGATTGCTTTCATGACGAAAAGTAGTACTTTGTAATTGTGCTCACAGTAACGAAAATGTTCTATTCTTTAGCGAAGCTCGAGTAAATAAATGACATCACCGTCCAATGCCTGTCCGCCTGCCAGTCCAAATTTCAATACTGAGTCAAGATTGGGTGACTGTGGTACAGCAGCAGCTGACCGTAGTACAATAGTATTTCTCACCCTTTTTACCACAGGGTTGGCACTAGAAGCTTTCTTTGGGTCCATGGTGGCTTATTTAGCAGTTACAAGCACTAAAAACAATGGAATAATACAAAAATGTATCGAATGTATGCGTGGAACCGTCTGCCCTGGCTTGTAAACAGTGGCACACTAGCTGACGGCAGGGCACCTGAGGCGCTTGGTGCTGGACAGACAGGTTTGGGATGAATCATGTTGGTCGAGTTTTTCATCATTGGTCGGGCCAAAACTTTTACGCTCAAACACTTCGTTACTCGAATTTATTGTTAGGCGATGCCTTTGTTGGTCGGGGGTCCACTGTATGTAATAACAGTAAGGAGAAATTTAGAAGGCTGCCAGTAGTTGGTGCCACGATCAGCAAAACTTTGGTAACCACTTCCAGTCTTCATCTGTCTAGACTTAAGTAGTCTATAAGTATTAGATTAAGTCTGCCTGAAATGCCTCAGCATGCTAGTGGCTTTCTTCACTCCAATCATATTATATGTAAACACGCATTGTAACCTTTGCAAAGAAATACAGTAGGGCCCCGCTTTCTAGCATTTTTGATTTACGGCGTTCTGCTAATACGGTCATTTCAAATTATGACCAAAACTCGCTATACGGCTCCCCCCACCTGACTTTCTAATACGGTCACCATGCCCCACCCGGTTTGTTTACATTCTCTGTGAGATCCGTAAGCACTAAGTCTCTCCATTATATCTGGAAACAACAAAATTTCAAGTGTTTTTAAAAGTTATTTCATATTTTATATATGCTCTGATAATTATACTTACGTATACCTGTACCTAAATAAACTTACATACTGTGCTGGCATGCAGGTACACATCAAAATCAGTAAGTGTGTCTTATGTCTCGAGACGTCATATTAGTAATGATAATAATAATCATCGAGTCTCATTAAATGTCGTATATTATGTTAATATACATATTTTCATTAATCCATCTATGATATTTTTTTCAAAATTATATAATAAACACAATGCATAACATATAAAGATGATAAATACACCCCACAGTAGAATAAATAAACATAAATATGAGATGTGATAGCAGATGACTTGCACAAATGACGCCATATTAGAAATGATAATAATAATCACCGAGTCTCACTAAATGTCGTATATTACATTAATATACATTTTCATTAATCCATCCATGATATTTTTTTCAAAATTATATAATAAACACGATACATAACATATAAAGATGATAAATACACCCCACAATAGAATAAATAAACATAAATATGAGATGTGGTAGCCAGATAACTTGTACAAGTGATGGCAAAAATAACATTTTCTCTAGTCTAACATAAGAGAAAATGTGTTACTGGGGGTAACTGTAGAAAATTATTCCTTTCGTATGTATGTAAGTAAGTTTATTCAGGTATACACAAATACATTTACATAGATTATCATAAATAACAGCATATGTGTAGAGAACCTAGGATAACCCAAAAAAGTCAGAGTGACTTATTTCCATTGCCTTCATTCAGAGCGTCATTTCTTCTAAAAATGGTGTTACATGAGAATGGGAGTGTTCTTCTTTATTTATTCTACTGTATCAATGTAGAGACAACTTGTACACAATGTAACTTGTACACAAACCGGACATGTACACTTTGTTTGTTTACAAAACTTACGTTCGCATGTTTTTTTTTACATAACTTTGCGCCTGTCCTCTCTCATGTACTGACTCTCTCTCTCTCATTTATTCACTTTATCTCGTTTACTCACTCCTGACCCTGCATAAAGACTACAAATATTTTAAGGTAAGTAGTGAGTGAACTGTATATGCATTTTATCGCTCTGGGATGCTTAAATGTAATAGAATATTATGTGTAGGTGGGGTGGCCTGGTATGGTAGCCCGGCTGACTACCATACATACCACATTTGAATTCTTACAATAAATACTACTTGTCTCATCCTAGATTAAGACTACAGTGGACCCCCGCATAATGATCACCTCCGAATGCGACCAATTATGTAAGTGTATTTATGTAAGTGCATTTGTACGTGTATGTTTGGGGGTCTGAAATGGACTAATCTACTTCACAATATTCCTTATGGGAACAAATTCGGTCAGTACTGGCACCTGAACATACTTCTGGAGTGAAAAAATATCGTTAACCGGGGGTCCACTGTATAAATATTTTAAGGTAAGTAATGAGTGCACTATGTGTGTATTGTACTTTTTTATTGTTTTTTGATGCTAGTTCTATTGCTAACTTAATACACCTACCATCCGACTTACGACCGAGTTCGGTTCCGAGAATCCGGTCGTAAGTCGAAATGGTCGTAAGTCGAACTTTACTACTGAATATCAACAAAACATTTTTGTAATGGCTTTATTTTATTGTTTTATTTTGGTATTTCATGTTTTACTTTACTTTTTATGTTGTTAGTACTGTATTATATACTGTAAGGTTTAGGATAAACACTGTGTACAACGCAAATAGTTGTTTATTTCCCAGAAATTTGGCATAAAAAACACGGTCGTAAGTCAAGTGGTCGTAAGTCGAGCAGGTCGTAAGTCGGATGGTAGGTGTACATGTTAGTGTAAACTTGTTATCTAGTATTTGTATGCATTTATAAGGGGAAAAAAGGGTGTTCCACTTTACAGCAATTTTCGCTTTACGGAGGTAGCCTGGAACCTAACCTGCCGTATAAGTGGGGCCCTACTGTAAATAAATTATTTATTTATTTATATAGTTATTTATTTATTTATTGAGGGGGAAGTTTGCATCCTGAAATTTTGTTCATATCCAGAAGCAAAAAATTGACTGAACGACTGTTCGTATCCTGAAAAATTCACATTGTGGGGTGTTCGTAAGCTGAGGTTTCACTGTACTCTATCTCTGAGCACATTAATCACTCAGCCCGATGAGATGACAATAGCTGGCCCTGCAAGATTGGTATACATGCCTATTATCTGGGTATTTTCAAGGTCAGGGCCAACAGAATCTGCCTCTTTTGCCAGTTGGCTGACTATAGCATTCATCACATTACAGATTTCACATTGCATAACATCATTACACCCCCCTCCCCCCACTTTACAACCACAGTGGAACAAACATTTGGTTAGGTCATCCACAGTACAGTTCTGCTCCATAGTTCAGCCCTTACTCTCATGATTCATACCTTCCCTTCACACAGACTTAGCCAGTGGGTAGAGGCAAGCTTCCCTTTGACCTCGACTAATTTTTATATCCTGTACTCCCTAAAAAAAACTCATCTGTGGCACAGGTTAACAACTGATGACTCCAACCATTGTTCATCCTCTTAAGTTTTTGTCGATGAGAAAGTGTGAATTGAAATGTGTATATATCACCATACTACCCATGTAGCCTTGTATACCTACTCTCAGATGATAGGGTAAATTTGGAGAGTAATACCCTTACATATAAAAAATTGTGCACTAGCATCCTGTGCAAAGTTAATAAACTGGAAGTACAGAGATGCCCCTTAGTTGTAATTTCTCCACATCACCTCTACAGCCAAGGAATGGGCACACGAAAATTCTAAGCATGGCTGCACTTCACAAAACTTCAATAAATAAGATGCTAGCACTTCTGTGACAACAGTGGAATGAAGGGACGAAGGTACAACATTAGCTGGCCGATTAAATATTGGTCACAGACAAGTATTATGTCTTTTATGAGACTGGTTTGGTGATTATCATCACGAGCACCTCACAGGGTATTCTTATGAATCAGATTTTTCCAATTTTTATTTCTTCTTTTTTCAACAAACTAGCCATATCCCACCGATGCAGGGTGGCTCAAAAAGGAAAAACAAAAGATTCTCCTTTTAACTTTAGTAATGTATACAGAAGCAGTTACTAGCCCCTTGCTCCCAGCATTTTAGTTGCCTCTTACAACATTCATGGCTTACAGGTGAAGAATTCTTTTCTGCTTCCCCACAGAGACAATTATGAATTATACTGTAGAATACAGTGTTTTAGGGATACAGTACATGTGTGGGAATACCAACTGGTTAAATTGGGTTTATTCATGATGAAAATAATGTATGTTAAAAGCATATAATTTAGCATCTGTCAATTATTTTCAGATTCTCCTAATTCAGAGACTGATCACAGCATCAACCCCTCCATCACCTGTGAAGGCATCATACACAAGGAGCAGTTAGAGGTAACATTGTACACTGTTTGGTTTACACAGTGTAACCAGCAGGAAACAGAATTCAGGGAATTTATATATATTTGTATTTTCTTCCCATTTATATTTATGTACAATAGTATATGAAATTATAGTTTTGTCATAGGGAAAATTCTAGTCATGAAAATGATTACATTATTGCAGTGTAATTAGGAATATTGGTGTATTGCATGAAACTTTATTTAATAAATGGTGGATTCCCACTCCACTCCACTGCACTGCTACTACCCCACCACTATCAGTGTGCTATTACTACACTACCACTGCACCACCACTGCCACTACACCACTGCCACTACACCACCACTGCCACTACACCACCACTGCCACTACACCACCACTGCCACTACACCACCACTGCCACTATACCACCACTGTCACCACACCCTTACTGCCACTACACCATCGCTGCCACTACACCACCACTGCCATTACACCACCAGCATTTTCGCTCTAAATTTGACGTTGCTAGATTTTTGGCATAGATCTACGGTTTGGACCCTGAACGTAAAGCCATAGATCTACAGCACGGACCCTGAAAGGGTTAAAGGTTTAAGGTGGTTGGCTGTGGTTGATCCCCAGGCACAAATACCATAGGTGACGTAAGGATATATTAACCCTTTCAGGGTCCAGAGGTCAAATCTCAGAGTGACAGCCAGGGTCCAAGAATTAAAAAAAAAAAAAATTATTATTTTTTCTTATGAAATGTTAGAGAATCTTTTACTGAAGATAATAAAGCAAAAAGTACAAAATTTGATGAAAAATTGACGAAATTACACTCTTGCGAATTTTAATACGTCAGCGATATTTATGCATTGGCGATTTTACTGACTTTGACTCCCATTTTAGGTCAATTACATTATTCCAGTTGACCAAATTCTTATCTATTTCACTAGTATCACTTCTATTTTGTCGATTGAGCACAAGAAATCGACCAGTCAACTCTTTCAACTACCCAGTAAAGTGATTGGAAATTGGTAATTTGGCCAGTTTTACACAAAGTTCAAAATAAAGTGGTACCCCGAGTTTCGAACTTTCTTCGTTCCTGACGGCTGTTCAAGTGCCGTTACCGAATGAATTTGTTCCCGTAAGGAATAATGTAAATTAGATTAATCCATTTCAGGACCCCAAAAATACATACACAAAAGCACTGACAATAATACACTTACATAATTGGTCGAGTTGGGAGCAGTTGGAAACTCAGGGTACCACTGTATTCCAATTTCAAAATAGGTCCCAGAATATACAATGCAGGCATTCCTGGGACTAGACTAATATTTCCTCTGTTCATTAGTTATGTTTTCAGGCTTTACAAATGAATTACTTTTGATTTTTTATTTACAAATTGAATTTTTATTCACACCAAAAAATAGAAGCTTTACTGTTATGCAATGTTGTAATAATTGTATAAATAATATCAGCACATTTGTGAACATGTATTAGACTCACCAGCTGACGAGTATTAGACTTGTCACGACATGTGTTTACTCTTGAGCATTGGCAATAATTGAACATTTCTGCTACTTTGAACTCAGTTTCAAACCATTTTCAGTACTAAAAGCAATCAAAATCATCTCTGTTTCTGTATGTATATTCCATTTTATCAAATGAGACCAAGAAATCATGAATACAACTGCAAAAAACATACAAAAAAACACCACAAAGTTGCTGTTTTAATCCAAAATTATGGTCGCAGTTTTTTTTCTCATTATGCACTGCATGCTGCAAGATTTGTTTTATGTGGCTTACACTTACCACATAGATGTGTTCTCTCCTATCTAGGCCCAAATTTACCACTCACTGGTTATTTGAGTGAGCTGAGCTGGCTTCAAAGCCGTAGATCTATGGGACAGACAGCGAAATGAGATCTTTCTTGAGTCTTGAGGCAATTTACATAAGTTGGTTATGAGAATGGTGGGGTAGTGGTCTGTAGTGTTGTCTGATTATACCTGCTTGTAGTGGGGATATCGTGTTGGTCCAGATATGGTCAAGTAATGAGGCACTTGTCTCAGAGATTGTTGTTGGCTTAGTTATAGAAGGTAGCAGCAAGCAATTCTTCATAGTGTTTGTGAAATCAACTACTGGAGGATCAGTTGCTTGGATGAGGTTTATGTTGAAATCTCCTGTATCAGGTGGTGTTTATTCAACTCTGACTCAGTTATCATGTTTCTAAGGTTACTACTAAGTAAGTATTTGTGTGTGGTAGTCTGTAGATTGCTCCAGCTGTTATGGGTTTCTTAAGGCTTTTTGATGTGAATTTAGCTATTATATATTTGCCATTGTCGTCCCTTGGGCAAGTAGGTTTCATACATTCCAGTTCATCAGAGTAATAGATGGCAGTGCCTCCTCCTAGTTGGTCAGACCGTGGTATGGTTTGTTTGCAATCGTGTCATTACGATTTTGTGAGTCCTGAAAGAGTTAAGTTGGATATTTAAGGCTCTGTTTCCAAACAGCAAGAAGTATGTTTTGTCTATGTTGAGAGTGAGTTTGTTGGTCATCATCAAAGTAAATGTATATATTTTTAGCAGCTTGTTGTTTACAGTGTTGCTAAGTATAGTCGGGTTTGAATGGGAGTAGACATAAGTAGTGTCATCTGCGAATAGAACTGCTTTAAGGAGTTTGGATGCATTAGTGAGATCATTGATGTAGATGAGAAAGAGTAGTGGGCCTTGGACAGTACCCTGGGGCACTTTGACAGCTACAGGCTGGATAATGGAGTTGACTCCATTTGCATGTACATACAAGTGTCTGTTGTTAAGATAAGATTTCAGGTAATCAGGGGAATGTCCTCTGATGCTGTAGTGATTTAGTTTTAGGTGCAGGAGATTGTGGTCCACTGTATCAGATGTTTTTCGTAAGTCAATGAAGAGCCCCAGAGGATATTCATTCTTATCGAGGGCTGTATATATTAGTTCAAGCACTTGTATAATAGCATCATTTGTACCTTTTTTTTGTCTAAACCCAAACTAGCAGGGGTTAAGTATATTGTTGGGTATAAGGTAGGAGTAAAGTCGTTTGTGTATTATTTTTTCGAATATTTTAGAAAGTAAGGGCAAGTTTGATATAGGTCTATAGTTGTTCAAGTCAGTTGGATCACCTCTGAGGATCAGGGTAACTGTTGCTGTCTTGAGTATAGATGGGAAGGTTGAGGACGCTACAAATTTATTAAACATTGTTGTAATAATGGGTGACAGCACATGTGCAGCTTTTTTATATATGAATGGTGGCAAGTTATCTAGATCTCCTGCTTTGGTTTTTAATGATTTAATAATGAGTGAGACTTCAGTAGAATTAGTTGGACCTAAATATAGAGTATTTGGGTAGTTGCTAGTGAGATAGTCATTCGGCTGAGTATTTGAGCTAGGAATTTTACTTGCTAGCTTTGATCCTACAATACAGAAGACATAAAATTTGTTGGCAGTGTCTATAGGCTGTACGCGAGGTTCATCTGGTTTAGTTAAGTTTATCTCTCTGTTTCCAGACGGTTTCTTAGAGCCCAAAATTTTGGAGAGGGTTTGCCAGGTACTTTTCACATCACCTTTTATTTCGATAAATCTATTTTCATAACACATTTGCTTTGATTTTTATATTAGTTTTGTGAGTATTGGTGTGTATCGTTTAGCCAGTTCTTTAGTAATGAGGCCTACTCTGAACAGTTTTTCAAGTTGGTGCTTTTTATCAATAGATTTGAGGATACTATATGTTAGCCATGGGCTGTTTAGTCTCTTTTCTGTTATCTGCTCCATTTTTGATCAGACAGTGCATGTCATAGAGGTTTAGGTTTTTTTGTTAAAAAGTTTTGACATCTTTGTCAACATTATTGCTGTCAGCTAGCTCTCTCTGCCAATTAATGTCACCTAGTACTAAAATTAAATTATTTACTGATGTCTCATCATGCAGGCGAAATGAGATCTTTCTTGAGTCTTGAGGCAATTTACATAAGTTGGTTATGAGAATGGTGGGGTAATGGTCTGTAGTGTTGTCTGATTATACCTGCTTGTAGTGGGGTTATCGTGTTGGTCCAGATATGGTCAAGTAGTGAGGCACTTGTCTCAGAGATTGTTGTTGGCTTAGTTATAGAAGGTAGCAGCAAGCAATTCTTCATAGTGTTTGTGAAATCAACTACTGGAGGATCAGTTGCTCGGATGAGGTTTATGTTGAAATCTCCTGTATCAGGTGGTGTTTATTCAACTCTGACTCAGTTATCATGTTTCTAAGGTTACTACTAAGTAAGTATTTGTGTGTGGTAGTCTGTAGATTGCTCCAGCTGTTATGGGTTTCTTAAGGCTTTTTGATGTGAATTTAACTATTATATATTTGCCATTGTCGTCCCTTGGGCAAGTAGGTTTCATACATTCCAGTTCATCAGAGTAATAGATGGCAGTGCCTCCTCCTAGTTGGTCAGACCTGCAGTTATGTATGACTATGTAACCAGGTTTCACTAAGAATAATGAAAGTTATAGTAGTATTTAGAGATTTCAGTAATGCAAGGAGGTCATCATAGTGTTTACTCAGTGATCGAACATTATAGTCGAAAACTGTAATGTTCTTGCTGACACTGAGTAGAGTTTTAGCCTGACTAGCAGTGCAGTAATGGCAATTACTGTTAGGATTATTTGTGCAGTTTAGTAAAAGGCTGATATCAGGATCGATATTTACATTCATAAGGGGCACGTAGAGAAATAAGCTGTTGCAATTATCAGAAAGAAAAAAAACTTTTACTGTTAACCACTAACAAATATGAATAAAGGAGCTACTGAATATAAAAATGAAACATTGAAAATATAACACTTAGCACCTGAATTACAGTGGACCCCGCATAACGATATTAATCCGTTCCTGAGAGCTCAATGTTATGCGAAATTATCGTTATGCGAATGAATTTTCCCCATAAGAAATAATGGAAATCAAATTAATCCGTGCAAGACACCCAAAAGTATGAAAAATAAATTTTACCACATGAAATATACATTTTCCTACACACAAAGAGAAGGATACGCACAAAAGTAGAGTAGTACATGCACAATATATATTGTGCATGTACTACTCTACTAAATGAAGAATAAATGACACTTACCTTTATTGAAGATGCAGCAATGACTGATGAGACACTGTCCTGGGAGTGCCTTTTCCTCCTGAGTACTGTAGGTCCTGTTTGGCATTTTCTTCCAAAACAGGCCTTATCACACTGTATGCCACTATGATTCTTAAATCTCTCAAACCAACCTTTGCTGGCTTTAAATTCACCAATATGAGCACTAGTTCCAGCATTTTTCCCTGTTCACCTGGGTGTTAGTCGACTGGTGTGGGTTGCATCCTGGGAGACAAGATTAAGGACCCCAATGGAAATAAGTTAGACAGTCTTCGATGACACTGACTTTTTTGGGTTATCCTGGGTGGCTAACCCTCTGGGGTTAATTGTTTCTTGGTATTCTCAATAAGCCACACCAACAACGGTGCTACAGCAGCAGCAGCTGACAGTGCTACAGCAGCAGCAGACGATGCTACAGCAGCAGCAGACAGTACTACAGCAGCAGCAGACGGTACTACAGCAGCAGCAGCAGCAGCAGCTGACAGTGCAGCAGCAGCTGACAGTGCTACAGCAGCAGCAGACGATGCTACAGCAGCAGCAGATGGTACTACAGCAGCAGCAAAAGCAGCTGACGGTGGTACAGCAGCAGCAGCAGCTGATGGTGGTACAGCAGCAGCAGCAGCTGACAGTGCTACAGCAGCAGCATCAGCTGACAGTGCAGCAGCAGCTGACAGTGCAGCAGCAGCAGCAGCAGCAGCAGCAGCTGACAGTGCTACAGCAGCAGCAGACGATGCTACAGCAGCAGCAGACGGTACTACAGCAGCAGCAGCAGCTGACGGTGGTACAGCAGCAGCAGCAGCTGATGGTGCTACAGCAGCAGCAGCACCTGACAGTGCAGCAGCAGCAGCTGATAGTGCTACAGCAGCAGCAGACTCTGCTACAGCAGCAGCAGACGGTACTACAGCAGCAGCAGCAGCAGCAGCAGACGGTACTAAAGAAGCAGCAGCAGCTGACGGTGGTACAGCAGCAGCAGCAGCTGACAGTGCTACAGCAGCAGCAGCATCAGCAGTTGACCATGGTACCACAGTATTTCGATAATATTTCTCACCCTTTTTACAACAGGGTTGGTACTAGAAGCTTTCTTGGGGCCCATGGTCACTTATTTTGCACATAAAATCACCAGAAACGCTGTAATAATACGAAATGTTATGATTGTATGCTTGGATGTTACCGCGGAGGCTGGCTTGTAAACAATACCACAGGCGGAACATGTGAGGCTGGCTCAGGCCGCACATTAGACGCGTCTCGGACGAATAGTGTTGAGCGGGTTTTTTAGCGGTATGCGAGGCAAAATCTTAGCGATAAAATGTATTGGTATGCGGATTTAACGTTATGTGATGCCAACGGTATGCGGGGGTCCACTGTATTTTGAAGCTAAAAATAATGGAGCTACTGTATATAACAATAAAACAAAGAAAATATAACACTTCAGCACTTTAATTAGCACCTTATGTACTAATTAAAGTAACTGAGAATCACGTAGTGTTATTCACTAACAAATATGAAAATATGGGTTAAGATTAATATTAAAGCTAAAAATGTACAATGAGGCACTTGATTTAGTACCTTTTTTTTTAGCATCTAATGATGCTAAGTGACATACACTTTTAACTCCTTGAGGTGTCACCTGGTGTCACAAAAATCCCCCCCTCCCTTCCGAGAAAAAAATTTTCTTTTGAAATGATAGAAAATCTTTTCCCGATTGTAATGACACCAAAAGAACGAAATTTGATGGAAAACTGACAGAATTACGCTCTCACAAAGTTAGCAACCACGGTGATATTTACAAATCGGCAATTTCTCCCACTTTGAGCCCTATTTTCGACTAATTCCATTGTTCAAGGCGACCAAACTCATAGCTATTTCTTTAGAGCTCCATTTTTTCTATCGATTGAATACAAGAAACTCCCCATTTACTGATTTCAACTACCCAATAACATGGTCAGAAATTTGCAATTTGGCCAATTTCACAAAAATTAAGAAAATATGTCAATTTCAAAATAGGGTCCAGAATGAACAATGCAGACATTCCTGGCTCTAAAATAACATTTTCTTTGTTCATCAGTCATGTCTCCAGGCCCCTCTGATATTACTCTTGCTTTCTATTTTGAATTTTTATTCAAACAAAAAATAGAAGATTTACTGTTACTACTGCAATATTGTAATAATTGTATAAATAATGTCAGCCCATTCATGACTGCATATTAGAATGGCTACTTGGACATTTATTGGAAAATGACATCATTTGTTTACTTTTGAACTTCAGCAAAAATCAGACATTTCCCCTACTTTGAGGTCCATTTCAAGGTTCTTTTTCATAGTAAAACCAATCAAAATCACCTCTATATCTATAATATGTTTTCCATTCTTTCAAATGAGACCAAGAAAACAAGAATACAACCATAAATACTATATGAAAATAGACCACAAAGTCAGCATTTTAATTAAAAAAAACAGTCGGAGTTTTTTTTCTCTCATTATGCATTGCGTGCTGGAGGATTTTTTTATATGGTGCACACTGCCCACACAGACTCAATCTCTCACATGTGGGCCTACCAGCTTTCTCCTGCTTGATTCGAAGCCACTAGAATTTATGAGTATACTGTATATACGTCAAAAATGGTGGCTCGTAAGTCATATATATATGACCAAAACAGTCAAAGGGTTAAGAATATAGTAAAACACACTTATAACAATATGGTAAATGATCACTTATGACAAATAGTCAGGCAAATAAAAGGACAGGGTATATTGTACTCTACTACAGCACTGTACATGGTTGATGTTATGTTGAGATGAGGCTTAACAAGATTCATTCAGACCAGTGAACATAAGGAAATGTGCTAGCTCTTGTTCATTTGTTATTTCAAACTTACTACCCAAGTCTGATAATTTTACCAGGATAATCTATGTAGCTGTATTCGTGTATACCTGAATTAACTTAATAACATGCTGTGTATTCATGTATTCCTGAATAAACTTACACGCTGTCTTCCCAACCACCCATGCTGTCTTCCCCACCCACACCATCTTCCGCACCACCCACAATCCGAGTCTTATAAGTTTACCATGATAATCTATGTAACAGTATTCGTGTATACAGTGGAACCTCAAATTTTGAATGTATCGCTTATCAAATTCTTCGAAAATCGACCGCTTTTTTTAACCAACTTTGTCCCCATTATCGAACTCGCCCCTTTTTCCGAACCGCTGGGTAAGAACATAAGAAAGAAGGAACACTGCAACAGGCCTACTGACCCATGCGGAGCAGGTCCATGGCCCCCCCCCCCTCCCGGATTATCCCAATGACCCATCCCAGTCTTTTCATCCCCACTCAAGGATGGAGCACTGTACCAGACCCAGCAGCTCAAGCTAGTTAGGTCCAACTCACACCCACCCACACCCACTCATGTATTTATCTAACCTATTTTTAAAACTACCGGACCTGTCTGCCATCCCACTCTGTCCACGTCCCCGTACAGGCGCTGAGAGCCATTCTGGTTTTGTTGATGCTTGAGTGAACACTAACCTGCGGTCTCATTCAAACATTTTACGATTAATTCATTGTGTTTAGTGCTTGTGGAACTGTGAAATAAGCTACCATGGGCCCAAAGAAACTTACTAGTGGTACCCTTGTGGTAAAGAAAGCGAGAAGCACCATAGATGTGAAGAAGGAAATATACGTAATAAAGAAGTATGAGAGTGGTGTTAAACTTGTTGAGCTTGCCAGGATGTATGGGAAAAACAAGTCGACCATCGCTTCTATCCTGGCAAAGAGGGAACAAATCAAGAAAGCTAATGTTGCAGAAGGTGTTAATATGCTAACCAAAAAAAGACCACAGACAATCGATCAGGTTCAGAAGTTGTTGCTGGTGTGGATCAAGGATAAAGAGATGGCAGATGATAGTGCTTCAGAGACGATTATTTGTGAAAAGGCATGGAAGTTGCATGCCGATTCAAAGATTAAGGAGATTTGCGCCAAGTGGAATGATGTCCAAATGTTTGTGGAGAAGTACCACCCTGAGAAAGCTGAAACAAGCCATCTTTGCAACAAGTTCAGTGACAGAACCATGTCCCATTTTAGGGAAATCTTAGAGGCACCAGAAACAGAGGACTGTGGACAGTTATTTTGTGAGACAGGGGTCCAGTGACTCTCAAGCTGGTCCTAGTGGCATTAAAAGACAGAGAAGGGAAGTAACCCCAGAGAGGGCTTTGATACCTAAAGTCCTTATGGAGGGGGATTCCCCTTCCAAACACTAACCCCAACTCACTCTCTTCTCCTCCCTATCTTCCAGATGCCACCACCAGTCTTCAATAAACGTAAGTAAAAATGTTATTTTATATGTTTATTTAAATTTATTAATACATAATTGTACACTATATTTGTTGTGTGTATGTAAAACTATAATTAATCTCTAGAATTTTTTTTTTTATTTTTTGTGAATATTTTTGGGTTTCTGGAACAGATTAATTGTACAGTGGACCCCTGGCTTACGATATTATTTCATTCCAGAAGTATGTTCAGGTGCCATTACTGAATGAATTTGTTCCCATAAGGAATATTGTGAATTAGATTAGTCCATTTCAGACCCCCAAACATACACGTACATACGCACTTACATAAATACACTTACATAATTGGTCGCATTGGGAGCTGATCGTAAAGCGGGGGTCCACTGTATTTCCATTATTTCTTATGGGAAATACTGCTTCACTTTTCAGACTTTCCGAATTTAGAACTAGCTCCTGGAACAGATTAAGTTCAAAGTTTGAGGTTCCACTATACCTGAATAAACTACTTACATGCTGTGTATTCATGTATTCCTCAATAAACTTACATGCTGTCTTCCCGACCACCCATGCTTTCTTCCCCATCCACACCATCTTCCCCACCATCCATGCTGCCTTCCCCACCACCCACACTGTCCTCCCCACCATCCATGCTGTCTTCCCCACCACCCACGCTGTCTTCCCTTTTCACTATCAGTATCTGGTATGCTGTGCATTGCTTTCGGTCACCAACTCCTCAAAACCATGAAATTCATCTTCACTGACACTTCCATCTGTATTAGAACTGTCACTTGGGAAGAGAAGAGTCCCAAATTCGCCGAGGTGTGAGGTATTCCTTACCGCTAGGCATGGTGAACAAGGCGTACTGAATTAGTACTCCCACAATGCTCTGCGGCCTCCCAGATTTTTTTCATACTGTGCACACTGAGCACACAGACCCATTCTTTCACATGTAGGCCCACCAGCTTTCTCCCACCAGATCTGAAGCTGCTAAAATTTTTGTGTAGTATTATGGGACCGACACTGGCTCTCAAGCCGTAATATTTTGGGACCAACAGTGAAAGGGTTAATTAGGGAGGTGTTGGTTGAGTAAGATCTACTAAAGCCTGATTGATAACTATGAAGAATGTTGTTGTCATTAAGATACTTAACTATTTGTCAGTACACTGCCCTCTCTAGAATTTTGGATATTACACTGAGTATACTGACAGGCCTATAGTTGCTGACATCAGACCTACTATTTTTCTTGAAGATCGGAGTAACTGTGGACTCCTTGAGCCCCTCTGGTATGGTATTAGTGGTGATGGACAAATTTATTTTGTGAGCAATAGGGATTGGCAATTCAGTGGCACGACCTTTTAGGAACTTAGACGGGATGTTATCTGGGCCGGTGCTCTTAGTTGGGTTTAACCTGCTTAGTTCTTTTTGCACAAAGTCATGAGATACACTTACTAGTTGACAACTGTTTGAGGTTATCCCTTTATTAGTGTAGTATGTTTAAATTTATCAGAGTCTATGTTAATGGTATTTGATGCAGCCGGTAGTTTACTTACTAGTGCTGATGCAACAGATGTGTAGTGGGAATTAAAACAATTTGCCACTTTAGTTGTTTCGTGGCATACCTTGTTATCAATATTTAGCACTATGTTAGATCTGTTTATGGGTTTATGGCTATACCCCAACTATTTTAGTTGTTGCCAGAGCTTTCTAGGGTTATTCTTGTATTCTTCAATTTTTGAGCAATAGTGCCTTGCGTTTGCTCCTTTTATAAGCCTCTGTACTCTTTTCCTCACCCCTTGGAATTCATTTAGTGCTGCAATATCCTGTCTATTTGCCTTAAATCTTTTTAGCAACCTGTCTCTGAATTTCACATTATCTAATATCTCAGTAGTCATCCAGGGTTCAATTCTCCATTTAATCCTAACCTCTTTAGCTGGTGCAGTATTATTAACCCTTTGAGGGCCCGTGCCGTAGATCTACGGCTTTACGTTGAGGGTCCAAACTGTAGATCTACATCATGAGCTCAGCTCACTCTGATAAGCTGTGAGTGGTAAATTTTGGCCTAGATATGAGAGAATACATCTATGTGGTATGTGTGTACCTCATAAAACAAATCCTGCAGCACATAGTGCATAATGAGAGGAAAAAAACTGAGACCGTAATTTTTTATTAAAACAGCGACTTTGCAGTGTTTTTTCGTGTGTTTTTTATAGTTGTATTTGCGATTTCTTGGTCTCATTTGATAGAATGGAAGATATTTTACAGAAATAGAGATGATTTTGATGGGTTTTAGTACCGGAAATGGTTTGAAACTGAACTCAAAGTAGCGGAAATGTTAAATTTTTGCCGATGTTCAAGAGTAAACAAATGACCTCACACGTCTAATACACGCCAGCTGGTGGGTCTAATATATGTTCACAAATGTGGTGATATTATTTATACAATTATTACAGTATTGCATAACAGTAAATCTTCTATTTTTTGGTTTGAACAAGAATTCATTATGTGAATAAAAAATCAAAATGGAATTCATTAGTAAAGCCTGAAAACATAACTAATGAACAGAGAAAATGTTAGTTTAGTGCCAGGAATGCCTTCATTGTTTATTCTGGACCCTATTTTGAAACTGGAGTATTTTGAACTTTGCATTAAATTGTCCAAATTACCAATTTCCGATCACTTTATTTTGCAGTTGAAACAGTTGACTTGGCGAATTCTTGTGCTCAATCGACAGAATAGAAGTATTACTAGTGAAATAGCTAAGAATTTGGTCGACTGGAATAATGTAATTGGTCTAAAAGATGAGTCAAAGTCGGCAAAATCGCCGATGTGTAAATATCGCTGACACATCAAAATTCGCAAGAACATACTTTCGTCAATTTTCCATCAAATGTCATAATTTTTGTTTTATTACCTTCAGAAAAAAGATTCTCTGCCATTTCATAAGAAAATATAATAAAATTATTTTTTTGAAAATTCTTGGACACTGGTGCACACTATGAAATTTGACCTCTGAATCCTGAAAGGGTTAAGGATGGCAGTGAACATTGTTTTGAATTTTTCCCGGGCATCATTTACGTCTGTGCAACTTGTTATCACTGTCCAGTCACAATTGTGTAGCCTATTTACCTGTGTTTCTTTACTGTAGTTTCTAGTTGACCTCATTTTTATTGTCCTCTGTAGGCCTATCCATTCCCTAGTGATTTACCTGATGCAGTAAGTGATGAAATGATCACTAAGGCCTGTGGTGGCTGAGAACTTTGTGATCCGGGTTGGTGTGTTAATTAGTTCAGTGTAACTATTTAAACCTAGAATTTGCTTGTACAGTGGAGCCTTGGTTTTAATCTTCAATTCATTCCAGAGAGTCTGACAAAAACCGAATTCGACAAAAACTGAAGCAATATTTCCCATAATAAATAATGTAAATCCAATTAATCCATTCTAGACACCCCAAAAATTAACAAAAAATTAACAAAAAAGTGTAAAGCACTAATCACTTTTACCTTTATTGAAGACTCTTGTTGGAGTATGGAAGACGGCAAGGAGGGAAGAGGGAGGAGAGGTTATCTCTACCACCATCACTACCACCCTCTACCATAATCACTACCACCCTCTACCACCATCACAACCACTACCACCCTCTACCACCATCACAACCACTACCACCATCACAACCACCACCACCCTCTACCACCATCACTACCACCCTATTCCACCATCACTACCACCCTATTCCACCATTGAATTCTATCATGTTTCTCGCCTTCTTTATCGAAGGGCTGGCACTCGGAACTTTTTTTGGCCCCATGGTGGCTTATTTAACAGTCGCACGCAATAAACAAGCACAAAAAACAATGGATTATTACAGAATGTTTCATATGAATGCTCAGGGTAATGTTCACTCGATGAGAAACCAAGTCAGACTGACTCAGAATGCGTGCATGGGATGCTTTGTGTGGGCACGGGCAGACGGACACGTTCAGTACAGCGGACAAAAACCAAGGTGATGAACGAAAACTGGGACAATACTTTGACGAAAAAAGTCGTCGAAAAACGAATTCGGTGAAAACCAGGACAAATGAAAACTGAGGTTCCACTGTACCTTTTACATAGCTGTTGAAGCAGATACAGTGGACCCCCGCATACCGATTTTAATCCGTGCAAGAGGGGTAATTGTTATGCGAAATAATCGGTATGTGAATGAATTTTCCCCATAAGAAATAATGGAAATAAAATTAATCCGTGCAAGACACCCAAAAGTATGAAAAAAAAATTTTTTTACCACATGAAATGTTAATTTTAGTACACACAAACTGGAAAAGGCATGCACAATTACATGACACTTACTTTTATTGAAGATCTGGTGATGATTGATGGGATGGGAGGAGGGGAGAGAGAGTGTTAGTGTTTAGAAGGGGAATCCCCTTCCATTAAGACTTGAGGTGTCGAGTCCTTTTCTGGGGTTACTTCCCTTCTTCTTTTAATGCCACTAGGACCAGCTTCAGAGTCACTGGACTTCTTTCGCACAACATATCTGTCCATAGTGGCCTGTACCTCTCGTTCCTTTATGACTTCCCTAAAGTGTTTCACAACATTGTCAGTGTAATAATCACCAGCACGGCTTGCAATAGCTGTGTGAGGGTGATTTCATCAAAAAAGGTTTGCACTTCAAGCCACTTTGCACACATTTCCTTAATCTTTGTAGTAGGCAACTTCTTCAATTTCTCTCTCCCCTCCTCTGAACCAGTTTTCTCAGGTCTGGCCTCTTGCTCTTGAAGTTGATCTATCAGCTCATCAGTGGTTAGTTCTTCATTGTCCTCCTCCACCAACTCTTCCACATCCTCCCCACTAACCTCCAACCCCAAGGACTTTCCCAATGCCACAATGGATTCCTCAACTGGCATAATCCTCTCAGGGTTAGCCTCAAACCCTTCAAAATCCCTTTTGTCTACACATTCTGGCCACAGTTTCTTCCAAGCAGAGTTCAAGGTCTTCTTAGTCACTCCCTCCCAAGCCTTACCTATAAGGTTTACACAATTGAGGATATTAAAGTGCTCTCTCCAAAACTCTCTTAGAGTCAGTTGAGTTTCTGAGGTCACTACAAAGCACCTTTCAAACAGAGCTTTTGTGTACAGTTTTTTGAAGTTTGCAATAACCTGCTGGTCCATGGGCTGCAGGAGAGGAGTGGTATTAGGAGGCAAAAACTTCACCTTAATGAAGCTCATGTCCCCATAAAGTCGCTCTGCCACGTCTGTAGGATGACCAGGGGCATTGTCTAACACCAGGAGGCACTTAAGTTCTAATTTCTTTTCAGTTAGGTAATCTTTCACATTGGGGGCAAATGCATGGTGTAACCAGTTATAGAAAAAGTCCCTAGTGACCCATGCCTTACTGTTTGCCCTCCACAGCACACACAAATTATCCTTGAGGACATTCTTTTGCCTGAACGCTCTGGGAGTTTCAGAGTGATATACTAATAAAGGCTTAACTTTGCAATCACCACTAGCATTGGAACACATCAACAAAGTAAGCCTGTCTTTCATAGGCTTATGTCCTGGGAGTGCCTTTTCCTCCTGAGTAATGTAGGTCCTGCTTGACATTTTCTTCCAAAACAGGCCTGTTTCATCACAATTAAACACTTGTTCAGGTTTCAGTCCTTCAGTCTCTATGTACTCCTTGAATTCATGCACATATTTTTCAGCCGCTTTGTGGTCCGAACTGGCAGCCTCACCATGCCTTATCACACTATGTATGCCACTACGCTTCTTAAATCTCTCAAACCAACCTTTGCTGGCCTTAAATTCACTCACATCAGCACTAGTTGCAGGCATTTTTTTAATTAAATCCTGATGCAACTTCCTAGCCTTTTCGCTTATGATCGCTTGAGAGATGCTATCTTCTGCTAGCTGTTTTTCATTTATCCACACCAATAAGAGTCTCTCAACATCTTCCATCACTTGCAATCTTTGTTTCGAAAACACAGTTAAACCTTTGGCAAGAACAGCTTCCTTGATTGCCTTTCTGGTGCCCACAATAGTAGCGATGGTTGATTGGGGTTTCTTGTACAACCTGACCAGATCGGCGATACGCACTTCACTTTCATACTTATCAATGATCTCTTTCTTCATTTCTATTGGAATTCTCACCCTTATTGGTGTAGGGTTGGCACTAGAAGCTTTCTTGGGGCCCATGGTCACTTATTTTCCAGAAACAGCACTGAAAACACTGTAATAATACGAAATATTCCGATTGTATGCTTGAATGTTACCGCGGAGGCTGGCTGGTAAACAATGTCACGGGCGGCACATGTGAGGCTGGCTGAGGGCGCACATTGGACGCGTCTCGGACGAAAATCGGTGAGCGGGTTTTTAACCGGTATGCGAGGCAAAATTTTTGCGATTAAAGCAAGCGGTATGCGGATTAATCGCTATGTGGTGCCATCGGTATGCGGGGGTCCACTGTATTGAAGTCCTCCAGTATTACTGTCTTGAAATTGCTCTCAAATCCAGACAGGACTCTCAAAAAGCCTTCTAAGAACTCACTGTAAAAAACATTCACACCTACTACTGTGCAACCTACATTTACAGAACCGTAAATTCTAATATTAACGCTGAACTACAACACTTTCTTGATAGTTGCAGACACAAAAATCTTTATAACATTCCTTGTGTCCAGCTAAATCTCTACAAAAACTCCATGTACATACAAGGGCCTAAAATCTGGAACTCCCTGGCCGAAAACTCTAGAACCGCAGACTCAGCCACCATTTGCAAAACTACCATTAAAAAACATCTTGTCTCCCCAACACACTACATCATCAGCTAACTGTGAAAACCACCTATTCTCTTTTTTGTATCATGAACATATCCAGAACAAAATAGACTTATTCTCATTATCTGTAATTCCCCCTAATTTACACTTACACTCACCCAAATGACTATAAACATAAAATTCCTGATATAGCTATTGCCTAATAAATCTTAACCCTTAAAATGTCCAAACGTAGATCTACGTTTTTTCAACATTTGAAAGTATGTAAAAAAAACGTAAAGCTTCTTTTTTTTTTTTTTACATTTGAAAACGTGTAAAAAAACTTTGATCTACGTTTTTTTATTTGAAAATATGTAAAAAAAAACGTAGATCTACTTTTGGAGCACTACGCATGTGAACGTAGATCTGTTTGGACAGTTTAAGGGTTAAGTTAGTCCTAAGTTATCCTGAAATAATCTCCCAGTATTGGAGCTTTTATAGAAGCAGTGTATCATGCTGAGGTAAAACCATTCCCATTACTAAATTTACTAATTGTAATATTGTTATATGTTTTGTACTACCTCACTGTTATCAATCTAATTAATGTTAATCACTTCAATTATCTAACTTTTATATCAGTATGCAATAATTTATGCTAAAGTGTACTGTTCCATAACCTGTGTCAATATAGAGTAAGAATTAGAATTAGTCTGCCCGAAATGCCTAAGCATGCTAGTGGCCTTCTTTGTAATTAATATTTTACAATACGTAAACCACACATTGTAAGCTTTGCAAGGAAATAAACATTTTCATTTTTATGGGTTGGAGGGTGGCAACTAGTTCCTACTAACATGGGTTTGGTCTTGGGAAGCAACACTTCAAACCATAGAATCTCCAGTTTATTGTCATTTAAATCAGGTCTTGGGTTGTAGGCTAAGTCATTTCTTATGTAGGCACATACCCCACCACCTTTTCTATTTCTATCTAAGCATTTTATATTGTAATCTTGATTTTATATGATTACAAAACAGTATGCAGTGGAGATGTCATATCTAAGGGCATTCGTAGAGAATTCGTAGTGTGGAAATTAGGAGGAAGTGTAAAGTTACTATAAGTATTAGTCAGAGGACTGAAGAAGGGCTGTTGAGGTGGTCTGGTCATTTAGAGAGAATGGAAAAAAGTAGAATGACTTGGAGAATGTATCAATGTGTAGGGGAAGGAAGGCAGGGTAGGTGTCATTCCGAAAAAGGTTGGAGGGAGAGGGTAAAGGAGGTTTTGTGGGCGAGGGGCCTGGACTTCCAGCAAGCATGCATGAGCATGTTAGATAGGCGTGAATGGAAATTAATGGTTTTTGGGACCTGACAAGCTGTTGGAGTGTGAGCAGGGTAATATTTTGTGAAGGGATTCAGGGAAACCAGTTAACCGGACTTGAGTCCTGGAAATGGGAGGTACAATGCCTGCACTTTAAAGGAGGGGTTTGGGATATTGGCAGTTTGGAGGGACGTCTAAGCTGTCGTATCTGAGTGCCTCTGCAAAGACAGTGATGGTGAAAGTGTTGAATGATGATGAATGCTTTTTTCTTTCTTTTTGGTTCACCCAGCCTCAGTGGGAGATGGCCAATGTGTTAAAAAAAAAAACCACTGTGAGATAATTTTAATTTATACATTTTTGATATACAGTATTGTATGTTAAGCAACTACAACAATTGTGATTATTGAACTTGTTAAATATGTATAAATTTCTTAATTTACAATTTTTTCTATAATCTTTTATATTTCAGACTGCAGCATTGGCTCTTTGTGAGAGCCTAACAGAAGAGATTGCTCAGCCTACAGCAGCTACACCCTGCTCCAATGATGATATTTCCACACCTCTTAGTGAACATTCTCTGGGAGTGCCACCTTCACCAGGAATTGGAAATGACAGCCCACTAACACAGACTCGCCCCGCCCGTCCAGTACAGACAACTCGAGGGAAGAGAACACGCACTGCTTCTCCATCTCCCTTGGTTCGGCAGTTAATGGAAATGGGCTTTTCTCGGAAGAGTGTAGAACATGCCATTAAAGCTCTAGGTGAATGACTAAAAACTTTTACTCTGTAGATAATAAAAAGTTAATGCTTAATATTTTGAAAATCTCAGTATTTGCAAGTTCTTGATCAGTCAGGTTGTGATGGCTATCTCGGTCTGCAGGTTAGGTTGCATAAGTAGAGCCATTGAAACTGGTCACAAAAGTACTGTGTGCTAAATACCTGTACTGTATTTATTAATTTGACACTGTCGTCTTATCAACTTCCTTACCTCCCACCACCTTTGGCAAGCAACAGGTACCCAGGGCACAACTGAAAGCTGAAGAGACACATGAGGCACAGGGATGTAAAGAAATATTTCCTCAGTCTCAGAATGGTCAGGAAGTGGGATAACCTCACTGAAAAAGTGGTGCAGGCACACTCCACACATAATTTTAAGAATAGGTATGATAGGGCCCACAAGGTAGGTGAGAGTGAATCTGGCAAGTTGAGAGTTGGGACCAGGAGCTAAGACTACCCCTGCAACCACATATACATGAGAACACACGTTAAATGTATTTCCAACCAAATGTCAGCCTTTTTACTTCAAATTTTGCTCAGTCTTACCAATTCACCTACCCCCCCCCACCCCCTCTCATTGAATCAAGGTACAGTGGACCCCCGCTTAACGATCACCTCCAAATGCGACCAATTATGTAAGTGTATTTATGTAAGTGCGTTTGTACGTGTATGTTTGGGGGGTCTGAAATGGACTAATCTACTTCACAATATTCCTTATGGGAAAAAATTCAGTCAGTACTGGCACCTGAACATACTACTGGAATGAAAAAAGTTTGTTAACCGGGGGTCCACTGTATTTGCATTTGTGAACTCCTTATATTAGCAGCTTGTTCTAGAAATTTAAACCTTGCAAAATATATTGGGCTCTGCTGTATCATATATTCTAGAAATTTAAGCCTTTCAACTACACTGTGCTCTGCTGCATCTTATATTGCTCTATTGTGTTTTCTTTGATCTCCTAGGCAATTAAAGACATCACTTTTGATGGGGTTTCATGGATTTTGAAATACACTAGTTGTCTGTATTGCATCATTCCAAGGGTTTCTATGAAGTAAAGAATAATTATTATCCTAGAGTTTACCAGTCACATATTATGAATTTTTCATTCTTTTTTTTTTTTTGGAATAGTAACTAGAATAATATGCAAGATATTTATTATGATCATCTTTATTGCAGGCGGGCTTGGAACTGAAGTGACTCCAAGTCCTGAGTCATTGGTAGTGTGGCTAATTGAACATGCTGACATAACATTATCTGACTCTGACACTGCCCCAGAAGTTCTCGATTCAGACGCAGATTCATTAACTGACGAATTCAATGATGATCCACCTATATTAGAGGTACAGTAAAACTAGTTTGCTAGAATAAAAGAAACAGTTTTGGAATAAAATGAAATGAAATGAAGATGTAAGAAAATAGAAAAAAAAATTAAACATTGTAACCAAGGTAGGGTGACCCAGGAAAGAAAACACATTCATTCAGTAGTTGTCTGCCAGAAATGTGCTAACATCATAATTCAAATAACCCTCCAGAATGCAACATTCCCACCCTTCCTTCAGAGCACAGGCACTGTACTTCCTTCCCTCTAGGCCTCAAGTCCAGCTAACTGGTTTCCTTGAATCTCTTCATCAAAAAATCAAAATCAAAATATTTATTTCCCTGTAAAGCTTACAGTGTGTGGTTTACATGTTATAAGATATTAATTACAAAGAAGGCTACTAGCATGCCTAGGCATTTCGGGCAGACTAATACTAATTCTAACTCTGTATTGTTATAGGTTAAGGAGCAATACATTTTAACTCCTTAACTGTCCAAACGTAGATCTACATTCTCTCGCCCAGCACTCCAAATATTTTTATTTTTTTTTTATTTTAAATAAAGAGAACTTTTTTTTATATAAAGTAATCTAAAAAAAAATTCTAGAGTTAGTACTTATGGAGATATAAGGCCGCAAAGTCGGCATTTGTTGCTCACCTGATGGCAACATAAAGCACTGCCGCTTGCAGCCGCAAAGTCGGCACTTGTTGCTCACCTGATGGCAACGTAAAGCACTGCCGCTTGCAGAAGTGTTGCCGATATACCTTTTTTCTCATTTTTTTTTATTTGTATATTTTTTATGTTCTGATAACTACAATTTGTACCAGATCTTATGATTTCATAGTTAATCTTGGTTCTGACATATATTAGGTGCTGAAATAGTACTCAAATAGTCACAAACACAGTGACAGGTGAACAGTTTACCTACCTTAGTCACATACTATTATCTAGAAATATATACATAGTATTTATAAGTCCCAGCAATGTTTTGGGTATGCAGGAGTATATAATAATAATAATAAGTTCCCTTGAAGCATGATGTAAGACAAGTGTCAGTCCACTGCTGACAGTGCAGCAATGGTGACATTTGATGAGCCTTGGCTTTGTTTTCACTGTTACACACAAACATGTCTGTCTGTTTCTGTCTAGCTCTCTGTCTGTCTAGCTCTCTATCTTTCTGTCTTGCTCTCTGTTTATCTCTGTCTCTGCTTATCTGTCTCTCTGTCTGCTTGTCTCTCTGCCTCTCTGATGAGTGTCAGTCCACTGCTGACAGTGCAGCTGTGGTGACATTTGATGAGCATCCATTGCCTTGGCTTTATTTGTTTTCACTGTTACACATAAACATGTCTGTCTCTCTATCTGTCTAGCTCTCTGTCTAGCTCTCCATCTATCTGTCTAGCTCTGTTTATCTCTGTCTCTGTTTATATGTCTCTCTGTCTGCTTGTCTCACTTTACATGCAACGCAGTCGGCAGTTGTCACACGTCTGCTCCCTGAGCAAGTGTAAATGCGTATTATTTGCAAGTCATGCTTACTATGCATTATATCTACTAGCGCAGTATAACACTTTGGATTTTTTGGGTTATCCTAGGTAATTTACACTATGTATAATTGTATTTATGTGTACCTGTGAGACAGACAGAGATAGAGACAGAGATAGACAATGATAGAGACAGATATAGATACAGACAGACAGAGATAGACAGCCAGCAGCAGCCAGCCAGCCAGCCAGCCAGCCAGCCAGCCAGCCAGCCAGCCAGCCAGCCAGCCAGCCAGCCAGCCAGCCAGCAGCCAGCCAGCCAGCCAGCCAGCCAGCCAGCCAGCCAGCCAGCCAGCCAGCCAGCCAGCCAGCCAGCCAGCCAGCCAGCCAGCCAGCCAGCCAGCCAGCCAGCCAGCCAGCCAGCCAGCCAGCCAGCCAGCCAGCCAGCCAGCCAGCCAGCCAGCCAGCCAGCCAGCCAGCAGCCAGCCAGCCAGCCAGCCAGCCCGCCAGCCAGCCAGCAGCAGCCAGCCAGCCAGCCAGCCAGCCAGCCAGCCAGCCAGCCAGCCAGCCAGCCAGCCAGCAGCCAGCCAGCCAGCCAGCCAGCCAGCCAGCCAGCCAGCCAGCCAGCAGCCAGCCAGCCAGCCAGCCAGCCAGCCAGCCAGCCAGCCAGCCAGCCAGCCAGCCAGCCAGCCAGCACCAGCCCCAGACCAGCCAGCCAGCCAGCAGCCAGCCGAGCGCCCGCCAGCCAGCCAGCCAGCCAGCCAGCCAGCCAGCCAGCCAGCCAGCCAGCCAGCCAGCCAGCCAGCCAGCCAGCCAGCCAGCCAGCCAGCCAGCCAGCCAGCCAGCCAGCCAGCCAGCCAGCCCGCCAGCCCCAGCCAGCCAGCCAGCCAGCCAGCCAGCCAGCCAGCCAGCCAGCCAGGCCAGCCAGCAGCCAGCCAGCCAGCCAGCCAGCCAGCCAGCCAGCCAGCCAGCCAGCCAGCCAGCCGCCAGCCAGCCAGCAGCAGCCAGCCAGCCAGCCAGCCAGCCAGCCAGCAGCCAGCCAGCCAGCCAGCAGCAGCACAGCCAGCCAGCAGCCAGCCGCCAGCCAGCCAGCCAGCCAGCAGCCAGCCAGCAGCCAGCCAGCCACCAGCCAGCCAGCAGCCAGCAGCCAGCCAGCCAGCCAGCAGCCAGCCAGCCAGCCAGCCAGCCAGCAGCCAGCCAGCCAGCCAGCCCGCCAGCCAGCCAGCAGCCAGCCAGCCAGCCAGCCAGCCAGCCAGCCAGCCAGCCAGCCAGCCAAGCCAGCAGCCAGCCAGCCAGCCAGCCAGCCAGCCAGCCAGCCAGCCAGCCAGCCAGCCAGCCAGCCAGCCAGCCAGCCAGCCAGCCAGCCAGCCAGCCAGCCAGCCAGCCAGCCAGCCAGCCAGCCAGCCAGCCAGCCAGCCAGCCAGCCAGCCAGCCAGCCAGCCAGCCTGCCAGCCAGCACACGCCAGCCTGCCAGCCTGCCAGCCTGCCAGCCTGCCAGCGCAGCTGCCAGCCTGCCGCCTCCAGCTGACAGCCAGCCTGCCGCCCAGCCTGCCAGCGCCAGCCTGCCTGCGCCTGCCAGCTGCCAGCCTGCCTGCCTGCCCCTGCCGCCGCCAGCCCAGCCTGCCTGCCAGCCTGCCAGCCTGCCTGCCTGCCTGCCTGCCTGCCTGCCTGCCTTTACTTAAGGCATAGGATATAAGACATTCTGGCAGGATGACACTACCAGTTTTTCAAAAATTAAAAGGATGTTGCACATGGGTTATTATCAAGGTTTTTGATATTTCCTCTACCACTTGTGGCCACATCCACCTCGAAGCCACTAAATTCGGGGTCAACTGATGTTGACCCCGAATTGTTAATACTACATGACATCAGTGAATCCCAGGTGTTTGCTGCGCTGTTTGCTCTAGCTGGCGCTCAATTGAACTGGTGCTCCCACAAGGTCCTAAGTGGTCCCACATTTTTTTAATACTGTGCACACTGAGTGTTAAGACCCATTCTATGCTGACCAGTCATCTCAGGCCAATCGTGTCAAATTTGGAAGCAGGAAAAATAAAATGTAGATCTATGTTTGGAGCCTAGCAGTAAGAATGTAGATATACGTTTGGACAGTTAAGGGTTTCACATACATTATTAGATACAGTGGAACCCCAAGTTTTGGCCATAATCTGTTCTAAGAGCTAGGCCTATAGACGAAATGGCCTAAAGTCGAAGCCATATTTCCCACAAGAAATAATGTAAATCCAATTAATCCATTCCACCCAAAAATATTCACAAAAAAAATAATTTTTTTAAAGAATAAATACTATAGTTTTACATACAGAAAACAATGAGAAATAAATATAAAGCACTAATTTTAATGGATAAATGAACATTTAAATCAGTTTTACCTTTATTCAAATTCAAATTCAAATTCAAAGTTTATTCTCTATAAGGATTACAATGCTGAGTTTACAGAATTTGGTTATTGTGTGGTTTACATGTTGTAAAATAATAATTACAGAGTGTACCACTAGAACACCTAGCATGGCTAGGCATTTCGGGCAGACTTAAATTAAATCTTAAGTTTAAAATATTACAAAATTATGAGGTTAGTTGGTATTATGGCTAAGTGACTAAATACTAGTTTGTGAGTTTAGCAATGTGAATGCTTTTGTTTTGGCACTATACATAGTTTCAGTATTGGAGTATCACAGGCCAACTTAAGACTAGTTAAGATTCATTATTTTGAGATTGAGATAGATATTTCTGTCTATGGTCAAATTGGTGAGTGAGTGTAAGTGCTAACCACCAGCTGGTATTCGTGTAATTAGTTGACAGGGTGTATCAGGGAGATAAGATGTTTTCTGATGGTAGTTTTGAAGGTGATGAATGTGTCTGCAGTTTTAGAATTTTCAGGTAGGGTGTTCCAGATTTTAGGGCCTTTGACATACATTGAATTTTTGTAAAGGTTTAGTCGGACACGGGGAATGTCATAGAGATGTTTGTGTCTGGTGTTGTGCCTGTGGGTTCTGTCGCAACTATCAAGAAAGCGTTTTAGGTCAAGGTTAATATTGGAATTTAAGGTCCTGTAGATGTAGATTGCACAGTAGTAAGTGTGGATGTACTGAACAGGGAGTAAATTTAGATCTATGAAGAGTGGGGGGGTGTGTTGCCAGGGATGGGATTTAGTGATTATTCTTACTGCAGCTTTTTGTTGGGTTATTATTGGCTTTAGGTGTGTTGCTGCAGTTAAACCCAAAGCACAGATAGCATAGGTGAGGTATGGATATATAAGTGAATGGTATAGTGTGAGAAGGGCAGTTTGCGGCACATAGTATCGTATCTTGGAGAGGATCCCAACCGTTTTGAATACTTTTTTGGTTATGTGTTGGATATGGGTGCTGAAGTTCAGGTTGTTGTCGAGGTATAGGCCTAGGAATTTGCCCTCATTATGCCTGGCAATTAGAGTGTTGTCGATCTTAATGTTAATTTGCGCATCTCCTGCTCTGCTACCAAACATAATGTAGTAGGTTTTGTCAGTGTTAAGCATAAGTTTATTGGCTGTC